CCCAGGGCCAGCTGTTGTCTCTCTCTCTCCCCCTCCGCCCCCCCTGGGCCAGCTGTTGTCTCTCTCCTCCCCCCTCGTTCCCCAGGCAGGGCCAGTTGTTCGTTACCTCTGACAGGTGCTGCCTAACCTCTCCGCACACTTCTGCTGCCTCCTGAGACAAGCTGTCCGGGGCTTGGCTCCCCTGGCGTCTCAGCTACATCTCCCGTGGCGGGGGGCTGGTAACTGGGGTGGTTCTTCTCATCTATGATGCCTGTGTCTCAGGCAGGATGGGGTTGGTTTTTTTTAAACTGAGGCGAGTTTCTCCTTTGAGCAGACTCCTTTCGGTGGCCTTCGCAGTCTGCCATACACAGTTTTGCTAACACAGTTGTTCTCCTCCTGGGCAATTGTTACTCAGAAGTAGTAAAGGTGGCGAGTTCATAAAGCCTGAGGAGATGAGTCAAAGATGCAGTGATAGCTGTGAGTTGACTCTTGGGTAATCAGCTCTTTAGTTTGTTTAATCCTTGCCCGTTAACAAAGGGGCAGCCACACCTCATTTTAATTGCTCACTAACCCTGAGTGGGAGTCTGTATTAAGAGATATTAAGTCATTAGACACATTGCTTGCAGTTCGGTGTTTTATATTCTAGGTTTTACTCTGGATAAAATAGCATCCTGTTTTCTCCCTCTACACTCTGAGACAGGCTTTATTTTTCAGTTATGCTCCCTGGTGTCCTGCCTGTCAGAATCTGCAGCCTGAATGGGAAAAGTTTTCTGAATGGGGGGAAGATCTTGAGATTAACATTGCAAAAGTGGATGTCACAGAACAGCCAGGTGATCCCTGTTTCTTTGTTTTGGTATATAACACTATACAGATGTTTATACTTTGTGCATCACCCAGAGGTTGTGCTGCTTCATATGCCTTTTTTTTTTTGGTGTGGTAGTAATAAAATGAAATGTTGAGCTTACTTGTTTTAAATAAAATAAGTAGAGGCATTGGCAATAATACAGATACAGCATCCTTAATTGGAGAGACTATTAACAATATTTATGAGTGAGATTTTTCAAATATGCTTAACTGACTTAGAAGCACAAGTGCTAAAAGTCAACAGGAGCTTCTCTTAGAGAGAGAAAGAGAGAGACAGACTTTGCTCTGAAGACCTTAGTCTAAATTGACAGATAAGAGGTGAAGCAGGCAGACACAGGTGAAATAACTTCAGCCCAAAGTCACATAGCTTATCAGTACAGGCAGTCCCCGGGTTACGTACAAGATAGGGACATAAAGACAATTGGAGTTTTGCCATTGGCGTCATTGATATTAGGATTTTACACCCAGAGGGTAGAAAATGTTCTACGTGACCTTTAATATGTTGATCTATGTGGGGAAATACCTTATGTTAATTTAAAGAATTGTAGGATATATAGAATGTTATATTCACATGATGCAGTTTTCCTTTACTGAATAGTAATGGAGTTCAGGATCACAATTTACAAGCTGAAGAGATCCAGTTTCCTAATGATGATTGTCTTTTATGTTGTGTGCCAGAAGAATAAGCAAGTTTAAACCATTATATTTCATTTTACGTTCCCTTCATGCAGTTGAGCATCTGAGGTAGTTACCCTGAGGACAATGCAACTCTATTACAGAAAGTCTGGTAAGATTAGAGCCTCTGTGAAAGCTTCATTAAGTAACCTCATAAATGTATTGAAAACCATAATGAAAGCTTTCAGTTTTTCAGTGTGTTTATTAACTAACTAAGAAAACATAAATACTGTTGATCTGAAAATCTTTGGATACTGTAAATGCTTTTAAAGTTATTAAAAGAAGGGTTTACGTCCCCTCAGGGCAATTGCAATAGATTTATTTATTCACTTGCAATTTAACTTCAATTATCCAGATGGCCTTAATATACAATATTTCTGAACTGCTTTAACTTTCAGTACAGGCAGTCCCTGAGTTACGCGGATCTGACTTATGTCGGATCCGCAGTTACAAACGGGGTTTTTCTTGCCCCGGAGCACGGGAGCGGTGGGATGCCCAGATGCGCCACAGTCCCGCCACCCGCGTCCTCCAGGGCGAGAAAAGCTGCTCCACGCCTCCCTGGTCTGCTGGGGGGAGAGCCCCCCAGCAGACCAGGGAGACGCTGAGCAAAGCCGCGGAGCACACAGGCAGCGGGACAGCCCAGATGCGCCGCGGCTGTCCCGCTGCCCCCGTCCTTTGAAGCTTTGCTTCCCGTCTCCCTGGTCTGCTGGTGTCCAGAAGACCAGGGAGACGGGCAGCAAACCTAGTTCGTAACTGCGGATCCGACATAAGTCGGATCCGCGTAACTCGAGGACTGCCTGTACAGAGCTGGGAATAGAACTCAGGACTTCTGTCTTCCTGTCAAATGCCGTATCCATTAGATGGTGCTTTCTTTACAGGATATGTGTGTCAGTTTGCACTTATATAATTACGGGTGAACTGATATTGTGCATTTTTTGTCAAGATTGCTATGGCCTTGTCTACACTGCAGCAGTCCATCCACCAGCTGTCGATTTATCACGTCTACTGTAGAAGCGATAAATCGATATCTGAGAGTGCTCTTGTCAATGCTGGTACTTCACCAAGATAAGAGTAGCTGGCATCGACGGGAGAGCAATCTCCGCTGACTTTACTGCACAGAAGGTGCTGCAGTAAGTACATGGACTTCTGCTACGCTATTCTCATAGCTGAAGTAGATCCACAGTACAGATAAGTGTAGACAAGGCCTTAAATGTGTTTGTGTCTAACAGCTTACTTCATCCCCTCACTCACCAGTTCAAAGTGCTTTAACATTTTAAAAACTGCTGTTTCCTCCTGCAGGTCTGAGTGGGCGATTTGTCATAACAGCACTTCCTACCATCTATCAGTAAGTATTCAAGATCTACAGTAATAGAGAAAATTTGGGTATTTTTGTAATAAATGTTGTATTTCTTGAAAAGATGATTCTATATATTTTGTTTGCTTTATTGAGGGGGCTTTTTACTGTGGAGAGTGGGAAGTCTTGAAGCTCTCTGTAGGGTTAATAATAACAACAGGAGTGCTGTGGTACCTTTAAAGACTAACAGATTTATTTGGGCATAAGCTTTTGTGGGGGGGGGGAAAAAACACTTAATCAGATGCAGCATATTCAGATGCTCAAATAAATCTTAGTCTTTAAGATGTCCCAAAGTCTGTCTTTGTTTTTTGATACAATCACTTAGCCTGCATAGCATGGACCATAGAATATCATCCAGTGTTGTGGGTTGTTTTTTGGGGGGGACAGGTAATCCATATCTTGACCATGACCTATCTGTGTAGTGGGTGCTTCCATTTTTTAAGCTTTGTGACTGTTAGCTGGTTTCAGTGCTGCTGTTGCATGAAGCACTGGGAAGAGTATCCTCTTTCGGTAGCAACACTATATGAGTTTAATAAATATCCTATACGATGCTGGTTAAATGATGTTGGTTGCTTTCAGTTTTAAAAGTCAAGATTCTTAGAAAAATAAGAGAGTGATTACAGGATTAAAATGTCATTGAACAGAAATGGTTGCTACATGAATGGTGTACTGCACCTCTACTTAATAGTTGTAGTGTGTCTGAGATCCTAAGATACTTGTCTAATGTTTTCCTCTTTGAACAGTTGTAAAGACGGAGAGTTTAGGAGGTACCAGGGCCCAAGAACTAAAAGTGACTTCATAAATTTCATCAGTGACCAAGAATGGAAGTCTATTGAACCAGTTTCTTCTTGGTTTGGTCCTTCCTCTTTTCTGTGAGTATCAGTAACTAGATTATCTTTGCCACCAGGCATATGCACTTTCAAGGTTGAGACTTTGATTGATGTGCAATAGCAGTGTTGGGTTCACCTTAAAAGCGTTAATGTAACTTTTTGTTCCCTGTTCAACTTAGTCTGTCTCAGGGACTATTATGCTGGTAAAAATAATCAGAGAATAGTGCACTTCAGTCAAGCCTCACATACGTTCTTCAGCAGGTGTGGGGAGAAGTAAAATAAAGCTGACATACCGGGGATTTCCCTGTGCAAGGACAGTTTAATGTCCTTTTTGCAGAGTTCAGAATTTGACACTCTGTTTTTGTTGAGCTGTGCAGGTTTTTCATAACTAGTGCATTTGTTCTGCATGTTTGTGTAGAGCAGTTAAAAATTTGGAAAGAGCATTGTGTTTGCTAGTGATAATTTGGCTAGCAGTGTAAGGAATATGTGAAGGCAGATCAAGTTCAACTGGGATGGGTGCAGGCTGGGAACTGCGATACTGATTGTCCTCCAGTCTCAAAACAATAGTGCTGTTTGGAATGCTATCTAGCCATCCAGTGGTTTTGAGGCACATTGCAACAGCAGCAGATTGCTTTCTTTTAAGTACTGCTATTCTCCTATCCTGTAAATGCTGTGAACTATATCGTTATTTTGGGGGCAGGATGGGATAATAGATTGAGAATTGCATAGCAAAATGGCAGCCATAATCAAGATTATATAATCTGATTTTGGCAAACACAAATTCTGATTTTGGCAAACACAAATTCTTGTATCTTGGACTAGTTTGACAGTTCTGAGAGCATGGGCTAAATAGTAATATTAGGAGCTTTTCTCTATGCATGCACACACTGTTCATATAATAGCCTTTCTGCAGCTAGGTTAACATCAGTGGCAGTCCTGCTCAGTGTTTCTGTGCAATCACCTTTAGGCCTGAAATCTTTGGCCTTTGGTGTATGTATGTCTTTTTAAAAGTCAAGGAAAATTGCAACATCTGTTTTACAAAGGTGTGAAAACACTTCTCCCATTTTATCTGTTTGGAAGTCAAGATGCCTGAGTTTGGAGACTTGGTATTTAACTAATCTCAATGGAAGAGTTGGTTCACAACCAAGTATGACACAAGTAGGCTACTAACTATATTAGGATCAAGTGTACAATAGAAATCTTCAATGTTTGTACCTTAGTCACTATTCATGCCTCTTTTTCATGAGTGCACTTTTGTACGTGTTAGTTACTTGAAAACAAACATAATTGGTACTGTATAGGTACTGCTTGCTCCAAGTAAGAAAACCTAAGCATTTACAAATAAGTTGCACCTGCCGGCCCAGGCACTATAAGTTCTAGGTGGCATGAGGATTTGTAGCTGTCAGAAGCTTTCAGAAGAAATATACTCCGATACCAAATAATACCCAACTCCTGTAATGGAGACCTGTTTCTAGAGCCCTGGAAATCCACCAGATACCAGTTTTTGTGGCTCATGGATGGATGCAGAATGATTTTGGGTAAAGGCCTGCAACTCTGTTAGATATCCATGGATCACTTTTTGTGGATCATGATCTGATGCAGATACAGATTTTGTATCCATGCAGGCCTCTAACTATTTCAGAATAAAGTAGAAGGATAAAGAAGTGGTTAGGAAAACACCTTGATATTTTGTCTGATCAGTAGTAATCAGCATGAAATGTTCATTCTTCTGATTTATCTAAAAAAAGCAGTCTACAGTTTCACTCTCTTCTGATTTATTTCAGGATGAGCAGTATGTCTGCTTTGTTTCAGTTGTCAATGTGGATCAGGGTATGTGCTGCAAATCTGATTTTTGTTTAACTTTAATGAAGACAAACTTGGTATTCTGCCATTCTTGAAATGACTAATGTATTTCTTCCATTTTAGCATTGCCACAGTTATTTTACAGAAAACGTGGGCATACCAGTTTGGGGATCATATGCTATTTTTGCATTGGCAACTCTGTTTTCAGGACTGATACTTGGACTTGTAAGTACAAAAAATTTCAGAGATGAGAAATAAAAGCTGCTTTTTGTATAGAATGATGGATTAATGCAATATAGAAGTTCAGAATTATTAAATGAGAACTTTCCTTTTCAGATCATGGTATTTTTAGCCGACTGTCTCTGTCCATCCAAAAGGCACAGACCACAGCAACACTCTCATCAAAGTAAGAATGCTATGTACAGTATTTCTAAGGATTTAATTTTGATGAAGCATGTCAGTGAATAAATCCTTGTGTAATAAAATGGGTATATAATATCAGGCTTATTATTGCTGGCCATGACACCTTAACAGTGACATCAGTGATATTACATACTCGTGTGACTAATCTAGTGTCTAGGCTTCATAATAAAATCATAATTGGGGTTACCAGAGCAAATGTTGTTTACCATAGACTTCAGATGGTGAAAAATGACTTTTGTATTTGGAGGCTATTTCCTGTTTCATTACCTCAGATTTAATAGAGTAAGCTAAAAGTTTGAACTTCAGCATGTTTTAATTCAATTCCAGTGAATGATCCCAGAGTGGAACTTGTAGTCAGATTGAGGACAAAAGAAGACATGCCTCTTTTTAAAAGGAGGGACTTAGATCTGTAAACCTGATGCAGGAATTTAGTTTAAGATGCTTCGCTCGGAGCTATTCAAGTGAGGTGCGATAGTAATGGGGATTGCTTAATCACTGTTACAAAGACTAGAGAAGAAGGCTCAGCCATATATACCTCAAACCAGTGCAGTTAGGTTGCCTGTCCCAAACATGAGGCAGTCTTTTGGCAGGTCATATTCACTCAGTAATTCAGGAACGCTAGCTACGTAATTCCTTTGGTGGCAATTAATCTCTTTAGGCATTTTACGTTTGGTATTAGAATTCCTAACTTCTGCTGGTTTGTGATTAAGGTAGTTAGTATGCCTAGCCTGCTGAAGTTAATATTCATGTGTATCGGAATTCTTAGGCAGACCTTTTTGATGCTTCATAAACAAATAAGTTTTGAGATGAAGGTACTTTCTTTTTCTCTCAAGAAAAATTAATTCCAGAATCAGCCCGGCTCTTGAAAAAACTGGATGAAGAACAAGAAGCAGATGACGAGGATCCTTCAGATGATGAAGCAGAGAGTCAAGAGGTGATAGACAGAAACTCTTCAACAAATGCTGTCAGACAGCGTCCTGTGAACCTTGCTGCTGCAACAGATGCATCATAGTTTTGTATACTGGAGAGTTTTTTGAGGAACAAAAGGTGTGGAATGTACCAGACCCTTCTGCTTGAAGAGAGCTGAAACTTACGTTGCTGTACTGTTTGCTCATCAGTTTCAGAAAAAGCTACCTTTAAAACAAGGCTGTGGCATCAGGTATTCAAAGCTGAAATTTACTGTTGCAACTGATGGAACCCAATGCCATATGTCTGTGGATTGTTGCTAAGAAAGTTTATGTATGGCTTTTTGAAAAATTCATTCTGTGGTTGAGTTGTACAAAATGCAAAACCAGCATTTTGGCAGTATTCTAGAATATTAGCGAAGAAAATGCACTAACATGTTTGCCTGCTAAAGCATTTGAAAAGATTTCTCTGTGTAAATCTTTCCAGATTCATTCTAAAGAAATGCTGTAAAAATGTCCTCAAGTTACAGGACCTTTGCCCAGTTTTTCTGATAAAAATGTACTATAAACTATTTCCAGTGCACTGTTCTGTTAGATAAGTATAATATTGAATGCAGCAAGAAAATTTCCTTACACCAAATAATGCAAACTTAGGTTATTCTCTAACAAAAAATAAAGAGCTGAGACCAATATGCCTCATATTGGAGTCTTAAAAACTGAAAAGTGGCTTGTTAGTGCCAATCAATTGCCTGTTATTTAGGATTGCCCTGTTACGAAACTTGAGTTTTTGCTTCTTAATGTAGACCATTTTTATTCTGTTCCATATTACTCTTTCCTTTCTCTTTTAAATCATATTTAAATAAATATGATTTAAAAAAACTGGAAGTCAAAGTGGTGGAAAAATGTGAAATCTTCAGTTCTGTGCTCAGTTTTTCAGAAGCTTTTGGTACTAAGCTTCCTAATTATCTTTTTTTTTCTTTTTTTTTTTTAATGTTCCTTGATATGGAGTCACGGTGCAAAGCCATGGTGTGTGTTTGTAGCATCTGATATAGTAGCTAAAATATTTCTGGTTGCTTTTCTTAACTATTGAGTAGAATGGTATTTTTCTACTTTAGCGTTCAAATAAAAAAATGCTTAATTTTTTATTTGAATGTTTCCTAGATAACTAAAGTGCATGAGTATGTTATAGATGAAGAAAGCTGGAGGCTTGATCTTCTGCGCTCAAACAGAAACTGCACACTTTCTCCTGTTAAACATTTAGTGTGGAAAAACTGTTAAAATAGTTACTCCTTCCAGGTCCTCAGTTGATACATTTCCAGAGTTTGGAGTTCAGAGCATCTCATTTTCTCAAGTTACAGGACCTTTGTATTGATTGCGCAGAGAACTTTCAATGCCTGTCTCTTGGCCTACAGGCCCAGCTATTCTTTTCAAACACCACAGGGCAGGTGGTTTCTTGCCTTTCAGGATCACCCTAATGAAGCTAATTTTATTTATTTTCACTTCTGTGGTATTGCAATATGGATAATTCTAACCCCTTTATTAAAACAAATGAAAATCTGGTCCTGAGGAGTTAAATGATTCCTATAACAATGTTCAGCTATGATCTTTTTTCCATGATACCTCTGTACTCTGATCCAGTAAAGTGTCTGCCTGTTTCATATTACTTTAAGGAGCTGTTTGTTCCTTTAGTGATGTCTCATGGAAAACGAACCTTTACTAAAATCTAAAAGGTAACATGCTATATAAACATGCTCTTTAAAATAGTCCTAAACATTTTCCCTAACTACAGTTCAAAGCTTTTGTAGCTTTCAGTTAAGATAGCGATGCTCCATATCAGTCTGTTGAAGTGAGTACTCTTAACTATGGTGTCTTCTGACTACAGTGAGGTGACCATGCAGTCAAAGCTGAGAACAGCAAAGGCCGGTACTCTAACTACTCAGCCACCACGATGAAGGTCTGTCATGTGCATTGTGAAGCTAATATGAAATACCTTGCACTACACAGAAATATCTTGCCAGTTGTATTGTCTTTTTCAGAGGAGTAGAATCTCCTAAATGGCCCAAAGGAGATACACAAGTTCTGAGCTTCTCAATTAAAGGTGTAATTCTTCTACTCTGAGACCGGATTCAAATGGCATATGGCAGTTCCCTGCCTGTCTCAGTGACTCCACCTCAGACTGGCTTAATTTACCAGTAGAGTTCTCTGTCTGCCTAAGTGCCAGTTCCCTCAGTTTATTCTGCATTTGGAAAGCTGTCGCAATTCAACCGCATTATATTATGAGCATGTGCCAAGTGTGTCCTTTAATGCTGCCATCTTGGTTTTCTCTTAGAGGGCCATTTTAAACGAAATTAATATATAATGTCTCCATCATTATCCTTCTAAGGATTATTTGTTCTGATAGATGGTGAGTGTTACTACTGGAATTCTGCATTAGAGAGCCAAAACCAATGAAGATCTCTGTTGCTAATTTCTGAAGTGGTGGTTGCAAGTGAAAGATTGCTGCATAGAGTAGGTACAACTTTTAAAAATAGCAGACACACAGTTCTTGCTGGTCGTCAGTGCTGGCGGAAAGATGAAACATCTTAATTGCAAACAGTAAATCTGGTCTGGAATCACTAAAAGGCTCTACTCATGGAAATTATGGTGCCCATTTTAATAATTTTTCACCGCAGAATGACACTTTGAAACCAGAAATGTCCTAACAATATTACTAATTACTTCTAGCAGAGACCAACTGAGAACAAGTCGCTATTAATGAATAACCAAGAGATGTGGAGAGGTTACATTAAAACAAACGTGCTCAGCATTTACAAATACTGTGGTTGGTTTACTACATTGAAAGTCATAAGGGACACTTGAAGTGTCTTAGTCATGTCTTGAAAACACTTCTTCGCAATAAATGACAAAATATGCATTTGTATGTCAGTCAGATCTTGAATCAACCTGCATACTGTGATTATAAAAACATGAGATTCAACTCAGCAGGTATGTTCTGCTGTCAAACAGATCCTCCAGGGACAGTCTCAGAAGTACAAGAAAATGATTAGCTATGAACTGTGTCCTAGTACTTCCTGTTAATCTCGTTTTTGTTAATTTTGGAGCTGTTGATTTGATTTTAAGTTCTGTTTTGGCATTTGTGAAGTTACATTGTTGTAGTTACACTTTCAGTAAGGTAACTCAATCTATTTTGGTCAGCTTTTTAGTTGAATTGTGTTCCTACATTTTAGAATACCAAAACTAATGTGTGTAAAATGGTGCCCCATATAATTAATGCACTTGAGATTTTTATGGGAATTGCCTTAAATACTGTAGTCTAGATCATTGTTTACCAGTAAAATAAAGCAATAACTTATGATTTATTAGGGAGAAGCAGCACTTTATTTGATGAGACATTTTGTTCAGCAGTCAAACTTTCATTTAATTTCAGAGAGGCAGATAGAGCTGCATGTTCTCAATATGGAAAAGTACTTATTACAGATTTGAAATACTGTTTAACCTAGCCTTCCATATGTGCAAATGTAGCTGCTGCTTACAGATGCAGATGTTAGTTTTAACCAAGTAAATTTGTGTACTGTATAAAACAGTCTCTTTTGCCAAGTTACAGCTTTTAAGTGAAGGGGGGAAAAATGTTTTCTTGCTGTTTTCTCTTGCCAGTCTAACATTTGCATAACTTGTCTTTGAGGCAAATGATTGAGTTAATTTAAAAATTGCCCCTCAGACATAAGGGTCATTAATTCTGAGTTGTGTGAATACTGCCTTTGTATTACAGAGTTTGCACCTGTGATTGTGGAAATGCTGCATTTAGGTCAATAGGCCAGCTTCATAGGCTCTTCCTCACTGTCTGTCAATCCTTCTTTCATACCTTCACCATGCAATAATAGGTCCTGTGACTATATGAAGTTTCTTCATTTCATCTACACAGAATTACTGTATGCACAAGTTGTTTATCACTCCCTTCATACTGCAGTGTAACAAAGGTATGTTAAATAAGACCCTGTCCTTTATCAGTTTGTGTTTGTAATGTTTGAATATTGCTTTTATAAAAGACAGACTCCCCTTTTCATTCTATTTGGGCTTGAAATGTTATTGTACCTCCTACAGCCGTGTGATGGCCCATACTAACTGGTGTAACATACTGTTTTTAAAGTTGCTTTGTCAAAGCTTCTAAAATATATATTCTGTTGAAACAATGACTACCAGCCTTGGATTCATGAGGGTTTTTTTGGTGAATTTTGAACACGTATTTGGGGTTGGCTTCGCTTTCTACTGCCAGAACAAAGCCAAGCAGATATTCCAATGCAAAACAACACATTGTAACATCATACAGTTAATAAAATAGTTCTACTATGTCTGACTCTCTTTTTAAAGGAGAAATGTTGACTGACATTTTAAATTAAAGTTGCGGTGAAATCTTGTCGCTTTTAAAAATCGAGAATAACATATCTTACTGTAATGTGGCCTGGTCATTGAGCAGCAGCTAGATACTTCCCAATGTTCATGGGAATCTTCCTCCTAAAAGGGTGTTAAAGACAGACAAGTTTGCAAAGTTTGACTCTCCTTACCATGGTCTACAGCCCTATGCTGTGAAACTTCCACAATCAAATGAATTTGAATTGTTTTGAGTGATTGTCTACATTCCCGCTCCTGACAACAAAATGTTTGCACTAGGCCATGGTGCAGCAAGCTACCTTACTAATGGGATACTTTTAGAATACTTTAGGCAGTGTCAAATGCACCCCAGTGAGTGTGTGGGGCTGAAGACAGTGCTGCCAGGGAAAAAGCAGGACAAGCGTAAGAAAGTGCGTGCATAAGACTTTCCTGGTTTGGTGAAATAGGTCAGACCGAATGTAAGCTGCTATCCTGTCTCTTTGCCCTGCTGGCAACCTAGTTTTCACTTAGCTTCCCTGCTTTAAAACTTTGTGCAAAGTGTGATGGTATTCTAGTGAAGGCTGTCCCTTTCCTAGGAGGTGGGGTTGGTTGGTTCCACTGGTGCAACATAAATGACAAGCTTATGCAACTCTTGCTAAAAAGTGTTCCATCTGATTTTAACTTCCTCATCCACCAGTTATAGTTAGTGACCACCTTACCTAACGGGAAGCTTTCAAAATGCACTTAGTATCAATATCTATGGCCGCTCATTGAAGCATAGCTCTGCATAGTCTGTGTTTCTGCAATGTGAACATTGCCATTCTACAGTTAAATGAAGAGTAAGTTACGTTGAAAGTATGAAACAAATACTTTTCTTCAGCCTGCTTAAATTGAGCATTTGACTCTTACCCCTGCTGTAGTTTTCCTGAAAGTTCAAACTAGTTTGGAGCTAGCACATAGACAAGGGGCCAGTGCTAACAACTAGGTAAACCTCTGCCAAACAGCTTGTAGTTGCTAAACTTTTTGATTCTATTGTAACTCCAGCCAGTTTAAAACTGATTTGAATGTTTAGGGATATTTTTTCCAATTTAGATATGACCTTCAGGGGTTTTGTTTTTGACTAAGTCAAATACATACATTATCCAACTTTGGAGGTTAGTCCAAGGAAAAGAGCACAAGAAACACAGCTTTTAATAGTCTCCACAGGTGATGTGATAGCATTATGCCCCAATAGTACATTCCCCAATAGCTGTTTTTTATATACTCAAGATGAGCACATAGAGCCTCATGCACATTTGGTGAGATTTATTCCTGTTTAGACAAAATAGCCCCTTCATTTTACATGTAATGTTTTAAAAAAATCTATTTAAAGAGTATTATTTCAGGGGTCAAGGAGGTGTAGTCCTTCCACTTTTAAAATACCGTATTTTCCGGCGTATAGGGCGACTGGGTGTATAAGACGACCCCCTATCTTTTTAATTAAAAGATAGGGTTTCATCTTATACCCCAGCGCCCCTCCGCCTCCTTTGCTCCCGGTGTCCCTGGTCTGCTGGAGATGGTCCCCAGCAGACCAGAGGCACCGGGAGC